CCGCCCCGGAGGCTCTGGGCCCCGCCCGCGCTGGGGGGGGGGCGCAGCGCTGACCGCCCCCTCCCCCGGGGACATCGGCGACACGGCCCCCGGCGACAGCTCTGCCACCGAGGCGGCCCCGCGTAGACCCCCGGCAGGGGCTCTGAGAGCTCCGCGGGGTGTTTCATAGTTCAGCGTTAGAGCAGAGCGGATACTGCAAACCCAGGCGCAGGTTCTTTGCAGCAACTCTTTTTAATGCGCTTGCTCCTCCACGGGCAGGTGCGGCCCAGAAATAGAGGTGATTGATTATCCCCCTCCCCTCACTTCCAAAAACAGCAAAGAATATTCTACTCATCTTAATACAATTAAAAAAAAAAAAAAGTCTGCGGGGCCGGGTTCTGTTGCTTTATAAAGCACATACACACATGCATATATATAAATGCAAAGCAATCACATCAAAGGGATGCAAGGGAGGGGGAACCCAGAGGTGTAATTTATTCCTCAGTAGCACACATACGTGCTATTCAGGTTATTTATATTTGACGACTGCCCAGAGCATTAAAATGAGCTGTCTCTCTGAAACAAATGCGAGGAAAAGGCCTTGCAGGCTCTTGGTGCCTCTCGGCGAGGTGGGCAGGGATCCTTTAGGACGTTASGGGAGCGGTTGCATGTGCAGCGACTGCAGCCTCTCATTTTCCACACGTAGATGGCCGGGGGAGCATCGCTGCGCGCGTGCACACGCCGGGAATCGGCGGCGAGACGCCGAGCACATGGCAGCTGTCACACTGCACCATTCCTGCGGATGGAGACCGCAGCTGCGCTCTACCCAGTAGCAGAGGTCAGCCCTGCAACCCAAGCCAGGGTTGTTCTCAGCTCGTTTACCTTGCAGGAAAAATAAATAATTAAAAAAAAAAAAAAAATCCAGCTCCTTTTCCTTAGGATGAGCTGCCAGAGGGGGTAGTTAACATGCACCAGTTATCCTGCCTTAATTCCCCCTCGGCTCTTTTTTGGCAGGGAAAACGCCGGCTGTGCTGCCGCGGCCAAGTCACGTAACTCGTAGCTGTCCTGGGACTGATTCTTGTCATGTGCATCTGTGCAACCCCAGCGAGCAGAGAGCTAGCAGCCAGAGCAGAGCGCCACGGGGCCCAATTCTCCCCTCATTTAGACAGGAAATTAAAGCAGCTTTCCCGTGTTCAGTGCTATTAACCATCTGCAGCAGATCCCTGGGATCAAGCAGATTTGGCTTGTTGGGCAAAGTTACGCGTCCCTCCCTGGCAATGGGGGTAGTGGA